CATGCCCCGCGGTGTGGGCGTGAAGCACCGGAGATTTGCGCGCGAATTAGGTTCTGGTGAGGCAGACTTGCGCAAACCTTACCTGGTCCGATGGCGAGGCAAAGCTAGGACGACCGAGAGTGGACCCATCTACATTTGTAAGGACTTACTTCCCACTGCAAGTATTAGGCCACCGCGCGGGTGGCTCAGATCTCAATTGAAGAAGAATGCCAAATGGAACACACTAAGTAGGATCTGTTTCAGCCTGCCCCCTAGTCCTCCAGACACCACGGAATACCTCAATGAGGACAGAGTTAGGCCGTCAGGCCATGACTCTTAACGTGTAGTGATAGATTCAATTACGTGAGATTTATTATAGCGAGAAATACGCTCATGTGTCGTGGAATGGAATCTATTTTGTCGGTTTCATTCTCTCTTCCCTCTCCCATGTACCAGTTGACTGTCCAAATCTGTTAACCAACTGACGATAGAGTGAGACTCAGTGACTGAGAAGGTTAGACACTGTTTGCAAGCGAACTCTCACCGTGTCAGTCCCAAAGGAAGGAACAATCGAAAATGGTCCTAAACGTGGCGCATCACAGGCGTCCAGATCAAAAACTTTCATAGTAGACCCGAGTTATTAACCAGATGTTTCAATTTAGAATAAAGTTGTCCATCTAAGTCAAACAGGGAAATAGTTTAGTCAAAACACAGAAATCTTAATCCACAGCTGGCATCCAGAAAAAAACAGATCACACTGGCTCAATTGCTACCTGTTTTGAAAACAAGGAATGAACTGGTCATGACAAGAGTATGCTTAATGAACATTAAAAATTTGTGCTTCTGACCAGGGGTTGTGAGGATATTATCACATGGAAAATGGTTTGAAATTCCCTAAGGTAGCTCCAGATTCAACATGTGTGTTTCATTACCCGGTGGTATGTTTGACTTTTCAGTCACTGCGACTTCTGTAAACTCCAGCGGTCTTACCATTGTCCTCCTTGATGATAGAGAGGGTGAGGCGGATACTGCGCAGGTCTGCAACGCTTCAAATTCATTCGGGCGCATGTTGCTGTCCTGTGGCCATTCAATAGCACAGGCGCTCGAGGGAGAATAGAGGTTGTGGTTGATGCCGCGCAAGTCTGCTTCATTATAAACACTTACACTCAAGTCATTACCCCACGCCCACTGAGTGGAGCACATTTTGGAAATCTTTATTTGCGAAGGTCGAAGCGTGGTGTGTGTGAGCATTTCTTTGCAGACTGTTAGAGTGCCATTGTTCAACCTGGTAGCTTGGAATGATCGTTCTCTTTTTGATAAACCGGAAAAGAGGAGAACTGTGGTCGTCCGCGAATCGACCCGTTAGAAGGTGTGCACCATAGCTGTCTGTGAGAGTGGCCTCTCGGAACAGGAACAACTGGGGATAGGTAGGCACCGGATGCACCCCCACGGCACAGTCGAAGTTGCTTTCGCAAGCAGGAACCACGTCGTAAGACGACTGTCCTGTTTCCCACAAGGCGCCTGCTACTGTCTCATGATTCTGCGCCTGGCTTTTCGCCGGTACAATCACGCCACCTTCGACAATGCTCACGCCTACGCAATGACCAATCCTGATGACGCGAAAAACAATTTCCTCCAAAACCGGCATATACTCATACTGACAGTGTAGATGGCGGAGAAACTGATTGTCCTCGGTGACGTCAATGCCCGAGTCGGCGCAGACCATGCTGCCTGGGAGGAAGTGTCGGAGCGCTACGCGATTGGCAGATTGAACAGCAATTGTATCGTTCTCATCTGCCGCCAACCAGACGGTAAACTGGCGACGTCAGTCTACAGAAAACCGACGAACACGCTGCAAATGCTCAGTTACAACAGCAAACACCCACTGCAACACAAACGAAGCTGTGTACGCACGATATACCGACGGGTGGAAACTCATTGCAGCACTCCAGTCGCCAAACTGGACGAGATGAAGCTCCTCCAAGAACTCTTCAGAGCCAACGGCTATCCGCGAACATTCGTTGAATGGAGCCGAAAGCAACCAAGGAAGCGGAATGAAGAACCTAGTCAGCCAAAATCGTGGCGGAGCATTCCATACATGAAAGGGGTCTCCGAAGCCTTAGCCAGATCCCTCGCGCCGCTCGGAATAGGCGTTGCCCACAGGCCCGACTCAACAATCCGCCGGCAAGTGATGCTGCCAAAAGACCCGATCTCTAAACAGGAGATGTCGGCTGTTGTCTACCGACTTCAGTGCAGCTGCGGAATGTGTAACTACGTTGGGGAAACCGGCCGACGGCTGCAAACGCGCATGCACGAGCATAAGTTGGCCGTGCGAAGGTTGGACCCAAAGTCGGAGGTAGCAACCCATGCCGCCCAAATGGGACACGTCTTCAACTTTGACACCGTTGAAATTGTGGGCCGAGGTGATGATCATACGGCAAGGCAGGTGCAAGAAGCCTGGATGTCTACAGACTGTTCTGTCACCCGCCACATCAATTTACCGCCCCCTTATCTGGTTTTACCGACATTCTTGACGGGGGACAGTCACGGCGCAGGGCAATCGGGGCCGCCAATTATCACCGCGGCCGACGAAGATGGGCGGGATTCAGGTCACGGTGACATGCGGGTCGGATGCAGCCACACAGGCGGCATTGATGGGCCAGGCATTGGACAAAGTGCGCCATGAAAAGTAAAGCTGTGTGCACAACTGCTCAGTCTCTGAAGATGGGTAAAAGAAACGACTACCCGAAAAGTCAGACCTCAAATACATCTCTCCCGGTGAACGCCTCCTCTTCTTTTGATATGCCACCCGGCAATCGCATTTTCACTACTATTAATTGTATTATTCTTCTGCAGGCCTGAACGAAACGGAGTCTTCTCCGGCCTAAAAAGACTACGTGGAGTCACCCTCGCGTCGCTGCATCTGCTGGGCCACATCCTGTTTTGCAGGCGTAACCACCTTGGCGTACTAATAACCAATGTGATGTGTGGTGCATTTATTGGAAGGTCGAGAGTTCACAATTTTCGCGGATCATGAGCCATTCACCTTTGCTCTGCATTCCCACTCTGACAAACTAAACCCCCGGGAGATCCGCCACCTGGATTACATTTCGCAATTCACTTCAGACATCCACAATATTGACGGGCCACGGAATGAGGTGGCTGACGCACTGTCCAGACCCTCTATCGCTCACCTCAAGCTTTCACCTGGGATAGACCTCGCTGAGATGGCCGCTGAACAACGCCGTATCGGTTCACCATGTGATGAGGATGTTTCCGGACTCCAGCTTCGGGAGCTACCACTGACAATTGGCAACGGCACCATTCTATGTGACGTATCCACCTCATCCCATCGTCCATTTGTGCCACCATCCCTCCGCCGCAAAGTTTTCTCCTCCCTGCAACTCTATCTCACCCTGGGAGTCGAGCTACCGACAAGCTGGTTTCCGACCGCTTTGTCTGGCCTGGGATGCACGAGGACCTAAAAGCATGGACACGAGCTTGTGTCGCCTGTCAACGGAGTAAGGCCCAGCGGCACAACAAGGCCCCCATTGGTACATTCCCCAGCCCTGGTGCAAGGTTCAGCCACGTTCATCTCGACATTGTAGGCTCCCTGCCTCTGCCCACTGGTAGTTCCTATCTCCTCACCTGCGTACACCGGTTCACCCGGTGGCCTGAAGCTATCTCCTGCCTGACATTGCTGCTCCAACGGTGGTCAAGGCTTTTCTAAGTCGTTAGGTTGCCATCTTTGGTGCACCCTCCACTATCACGACTGACTGCGGTGTCCAGTTCAAGTCTAACCTCTTACAGTCTCTCTTCTCCTTTTTAGGCTATACACGTATCCGGACGACAGCCTATCACATGGCTGTCAACGGGATGGTCGAGCGGTTTCACCACCAACTGAAGACCTCCCTACGCGCCGCGGCCGTTCTGGAGAACTGGACGGACCACCTTCTCCTGGTCGCGTTGGGCATCCGCCCAACTCTCAAGCACGACCTTGACTGTTCCGCGTCCGAACTGGTGTTTGGCGCCACCGTCCGACTGCCCGGTGAGATGAGCTCACCAACCCCGCGAGGTGCAGTTGAGGATCTCCTGTCTTATCCTGGTATCCATAGTCTGGGATTGGCAGTCGTGTCCTTTGCGCTCGCAACAGTGGTGACCCCTTGGACGTTCACGCTTACGCCTGTTATCTGTTGACGTAGATTTGCTGCTTACATATAGCCAGTTTTCCTTATTTCCTTCTACCAACATGTCCTATACGGATTCCAACGATGTCACTACTTCTCTCAGTGGACTTGTTTCGTCCCTCCCAGACTTTTGGCAACATGCGCCAAAACTTAATTTCTTCCGTATTGAGGCGACATTTCACTCTACAAAGATAACAAGAGAAACCGACCAGTGTTATAAGCTGGTCGATGCCCTTCCACCTTCCATTTTTTCTCAAGTGCAGAGGTTTTTGTGAGATCCCCTGACTGATGCTCCCTACACGAAGCTGAAGGCTGAACTCCTTCGCCTGACCTCAGTTTCAGATCGTCAGCGTTATTGCGCACTGGTAAAAGAAGAGGCCTTAGGTGATCGTAAGCCATCGGAACTCCTGCGTCGCCTGCGTTCTCTTGCTGGGAACATGGCCATCGACGATAAGTTCTTTAAAGTGGTGTTCTTAGAACGTCTGCCGACATCGGTGCAAACAATTTTGGCCTCTGGCTCAGGTAATTTAGACATCTCAAAACAACGGAAATGGCCGATCGTATGATGGAGGTTGAGCATTTGTCATCCACGACGGTTCCTCAGGTTTCCCTGCCTCTCATTGCGTCCACCTTTGACCTGGCCGAGCTAAAGACACAGATGGCCCAGCTGTCGGTGACTGTTGTCGCTTTACATCTGCGCTGATCAGCTGGCTCATCTCGACGTTCCTTTGGCCGTGACCGACGTCGTTCCCGCTCTTGTCCCAGGACCGCAAACCTACGATGGTATCATGTAAAATTTGACGATAAGGCGCGCCACTGCCTCCCACCCTGCTACTTCAAGTCCACATAGGGAAACTCCTCGGTCGGAGAGTAAATGCGGCCCAGAGCACTGGCAGCACTACTGGTCGCACATTTTACCTCAGCGATAACACGAGTGGCAGACGTTTTCTAATCGACACTGGCGCTTAACTTACTGTTATCCCTCCCACGCCAGCCGACTGACGTTGCCCAAACCGTGGTCTTCTCCTTCAAGTCCTAAACCCATCCCCAACTGCAACCTTTGGATCTCGATCCCTCCCTGGATATTGGTCTCAGGCGACTATTCCCCTGTACATTTGTATTGGCTGATGTTCCCACCGCCATCCTTCGTGTTGATTTGTTGGCCGCCTTCGACCTTCTGGTGACTTGCAGGCAACTTCGCCTCCATGATCGCGCAACTGCTTTCACTGTCAACGAATTTCCTCCATCCTCAGCTTCTAACCATCCATCCGTTCTCGGCCCAAACCCTGCCTGTCCATTCCGTAAACATTTAGCAAAATATCCTCCCTTCACTAAGACCCATTCTTCTGACTCCGCATTGCCCCATGATATTGTTCATAACATAAGAACGACTGGTCCTCCTGTCTTCTCTCGTCCCTATCGTCTTGCGGCTGCTAAAGCTGAATTTGACCACATGCTGCAATTAGGGATTATCTGACAGCCTGACAGTCCCTGGGCATCTCCTTTACACATGCCGTCCTTGCGGCGATTATAGAGCCCTAAACAATATCAATATGCCCGATCTGTATCCAATTCCCCACCAAAGCTGTTTGCGGCAAAACCGTTTTGTTGAAGACCGATTTGGTCATGGCTTTTCGTCAAATTCCGATTACGGTTGAGGACATTGAGATGACGCTGAGATGATCTCACCAACCCCGCGAGGTGCAGTTGAGGATCCCACCAACATCCTGCACAGTCTCCGGTAGTTTTTGCCGACACTTTCTCCGGTTCCACCCAGGTCCTCCGCCTCTCCGTTTTATCTCGAGAAGGACTTGGCAACGTGCTCTCACATCTACCTCCGATGTGATCGAATCCGCCGGCCTCTGGAACCCCCCTATGATGGCCCATTCCGGGAGCTCTCTCGCGGAACGAAGACGTTCCACATTCAACGCGACAATCGTGAAGAGGTCGTGAGTGTGAACCGCCTCAAAGCTGCCGTCCCAGACACTCCTCCGGATGAGACCTGTTGTACCGTATCTTTTTCTCCCTCACCTCCAGCCTCTATTCCACCATCCCGTAAGGTTTGCGCAAGTCTGCCTCACCAGAACCTAATTCGCGCGCAAATCTCCGGTGCTTCACGCCCACACCGCGGGGCATGCGGTGGACGTCCTCAAGTGCAACGGTCGAACTATCGTCTGTCACAACAAGGTGGTCCGGACCTCGTTGCAATACTTTATCGTCTGGCGTTCACGCGCGCCTGGCATCCAGAACATTGCAGTGCATTCTCACTTGACAAGCGTGTGCATGAGTCAGCAATTTTCAGGCAGGTGGGCCATCCTAGCTCCCACAGAAATCAGCCAATGGGGAGCACGTCAGTCTGGCGACGCCTCGGACCATAGTAGTACGGCGTCCTGGACAGAGCGGGTAAGAAGTTAATGTGGGCAGTTAAGTTGTTCCCACTGTCCTCCACCCTGCCCCCCTGCCTGCATTCGGTTTGACATATCAACTGTCAACACAGTGCCGAGGAGCAGGCAAACATCGATCCATTGTCCCCTCGCAGTGGTTGTTGCATTGTCAATGAGGCGGTTGTTGAGGCCATGTAGGTGGGTAAGGGGGAGTAGTTTTACGATGCCGTTTTGGAGAAATAGGCCTCGTAGTTCGGTGACTCGAATCGACCACTAATCCTTCAGGGAGGCCACTAATTCTAACAGACGCTCTAACTGTCTGGACAACATCTGGAGCTTCAAACTAAGAAGCCAGAATGCCGAAAGTGTCACTCACGCAGGTGGGTCCAGTAACAATTTGTGGTCTAGGCTCGTCCGGTGTCTCGGTTAGCTTCTATATCTTCTCAGATTTCCTCTGTTGATCTCGATTTCGAGGATTACTCCATAATCTGAGGTGGCCACGTCTAGCTTAGTGGCCGTCGTCAGTCGCCCTCACCCAACCCCAAGTTTGTAGGGCCTGAGGTTCGGACCATGTTTTTTGGCCACCAAGCGCTAGTAAGTCAGGCGCTCCAACATTAAGCCACACACTCATTGTTCTGTCGGTTGTGATCAGGAATGTTAAGTATGGTGGAAGGGTGGCCACCAATCAGGTTACGGGACGTACTCGTGCCATTGTGCCTTGAGGCTCAACCTAGCAAACTCGCAGGCTGTCTCATGGTGACTAATAATGTATGCTGAGATTGCGGTAAGATAGAGTCAGTGGTGACAGGAATGGCCACTTCCGACTTAATAAGCCGTTGTAAGCCATCCTTACCCAACTTCCAGTTTGCAAGACTAAGTCAGAACGGGACGAGGATGTCCCTAACCCGATTGGTGAGTGTACTTCTACTCTGATAAACGTACTATGCCTTCCCTTGTGGGCCAGTAGGATTTGGTGGGAGCAGGTGTTTAGGGAAGACTAGTTCAGTCTGACTGTTTTCCATCCCCTCACACTACAATCATCGTAACCGACATGGTGACAAAGTTCGATTAAAGAAGGAGACACGATCGCCGGGACAAGAGCTTTATTAGCCTGACGTTTCGGATTCCTACTCGAATCCATCATCAGAGACAAAAGAGCAGAAACGGGTTCGATTAGTTTCACAGAGAACTGGACGCCTTGACTCGATGCTACCTCACCTGTGCTTGAAGTGACTGGCGCATAATCCGATTAACTTAAAGAATTGCTAGTTTACTTAGCACACAGTTTTCCCTGCCATGAACAGAGGGTGTACTTTCAGTGATCTCTGCGGAGGTGTCGCTCTTGTACAACCTACGTAATAATACGAGCAGCTTTCTTGTGGTCCTCTGGCATATTGAGTAAAGCATGCAGGACGTTAACCTCACATCCGGCCTTCGAAGCGAAAGGCGGTGCAACATGTTCGTACTGCTAGCCAAATTTTGTAAGCCGTTGAGTGCTACATGTCCTCAATACCGCGTTTCTACTGCTCCATACGGTGTTTACTTATTTACAGGTTGTGTCCTAGAAAAAGGCGTTCTGGGAGGCAAGTGTCTGCTGAATGCACAGTGGAATTGACTTAGGGCAGATGATAGTAGGGAGAGGTGTGAATTGAAAACAGCATACTTGGTAGTTCTGATGCGTCTCCCTCATTGCTATCTTTTCTAGTCTGTCTTCGTTGCGGCGCGAGTATGAAGAGGAAAGGTGTTTACGCCTGTGTGCCTACTTCATAGAGGCGCGTTCATACAAACCCTGTGCCTTTTGCGCAACCTCAGTTCCGTTTGCCTCGCACTCGTCTGACCACTGTTATGCCATTGGTCAATTTGCGAAAACTTGAAGGTCACGTACGCAGACGGATATTGCGTACGCTCCACCAAGGCATGGAAAATTCACCCCAACGAACTGTCTGTCAGAGGGCTAGAGTGGTTTTTTGAATTGCACGTTGAAGGAGGAGATTGGATGCCGATAAATGCAAGGGACAGTTGAATGACAATTTATGGTTTGCTCAGGACTTGTATTGAGAAATAGGCGGTTGACGAGTACAAATGAGATAGAAATGGTGGTCAATATCTGTCTTGTGTTTGCAGAAATTCCGTCTGAATTACTAATTTTCGCTGCGCGGCCACTTGTGGAATTCTAGACAGCACTTTCGTGGCAAAGGGGGACGAATATGTTTCGCACGCTAACCGGATCACTGAATGTATCTGCTAGAGTGATGCGGAATGCACCATCAGTGTCGTCCGGCGTTAACGCGCGGCAGGACCACGACGGCACAGGTCCGTCTGGCCTACAAAGTTCCCACGCGAGTCAACGGTTGGCACGCCGTGCGACAATCAGCGAACCGTCTGCCCACACTAGTGCTGAGAGGTCAACCAGTGGGAAGGATTAAAATACAGCGTCGTTGATTGAAAGGAGAACAGTTGATGTAAGCACAGTGATTGTCGCATTTGTACCGTTCTCCGCCATCTCTGTCTGCCTTCAGCTCCATGAAACAGCTGGCGGCACAATGCTGTTAAATGTACGAGTGGCTGCCCTACCTTACGGTGGACATCGATTTCGATCCAAATCCTTGAATCAGAGCGAATTGTA